AACACTCTATTGTCAAGAATGATCCTGAAAATCCCATAAAATATTGGACACCATCAGCACTTTTACAAAAATTGCTGATGTTATCATCCCCGTATTACAGTTTCACATTAATAACAGGTTACCCTTGTAGAAGGGCCAGAAGAATAATGCTGGCAAGACAGAGTTGGTAAATACCACGTATCAGGGAAGAGATTTCACACCTTAGCAGTCATATATGGCTCAGCTTTGCACATTTCAATTTTTACTGCTAAACGTCCGTTTAACCTCAAACTCAGACCTATAAAAATAGTTAAATAAGTAATAATCAATATTTAAAGGAAGGGGATGGAAGAAAAAAAATCTGGGACTGGGTAAGGAAATCCAGGATAGGGGGCCTGTGTGTGCCACACACGCGCACACATACACACACACACACACACCCCTGGGGTCCTGCACCAGGGGAGCATGCTGAGAGGTCTGTGCTGGGAGGGGGCGTTGGTTGGACGTTGGCTGCTGGCAACAGAACCTGGATGGGGGAGACGCTGCTGCAGGGTCTCACTGCTGTGGGGCAGGGCAGTTGGCAGCCGGACACCCAAAGCCACCGGGCTAATCATTCTGCCAAGGTCCCAGCTGGGGATTGGGCGCCAAACTCCTGCCAAGCCTAGGCCAGCCCCCACACTTGAGGGCATGCTCAGGGCAGGGCGCCAAACTCGCACTGAGCCCAGCCTGGCACCTGCCCCCACACTCCACTCTGTGAGAGGGAAGGATCCAGCCTGGTATGAATGCACTATCAAATGAACAGAATGTTTAAAGCAGGTATGCTTTATTGATTTATGCATATTTACTTTTTATAATTTTATAAAGCTTTTAACAGTATATTGTAAAAACTAAATGGTCTGCTCCACACACCCCCAATTTGCATACTCCTGAACATTTAAATCAATATTTAAACAAATGCTTAAAAATAAAATGTCAATTTTAGCCATCAAAATTATTTTAAAAATTGAATTCTGCCAAACCTATATGTGGCAAATGGCTTCTTCATATGCTCTCAGAGCACAGGACCATTTATGCTATCCTTAATTACACTCAAGAAATAGTCTAGCTGACAACTCATTGGAACAACTCACAGAAGTAAAGTACTGCTCAATCCAAAAAAGGTTGGCAGAATGGTATTGTTAGGTCCTCGTACAGGGAACGCTTATGCATGTAAAAAGCTTTAAGCACAAGCAGTCCCATTGCTTTTACTGAGATTATTGTACAAACTTGCCAACATGGAGAAGTGCCACATGCAAAATAGTTGTGCCAGGAGGAAATAGGTCCGATCAGGGTTCTGCAGTACGTCAGTAAAAGAGGACTAAGTTACTGTGGGGTATCAGAGTCTGTATTGGCAACTACTATAGAGCAGCTGATGTATAATAAACCTCCCTCTGCATTTATCTCATAGTAAGTTGTTCATTTACCCAGACCTTTAGAGTTCATATAGACCAGAAAGACAAAAGGAGAGAGAAAAGAGAGACACGGGAGGCCAGTGACAAGCACTGTCATGAATAGAATCCAGGGCCCCAAGCATTACTTTGGCACCATAAATGAAAGACAACAAAGCTACCTCTCAAGGCTTAAGCTCTTTCCTAGCCTGGACCATAAATGAGAGGAACCCTTAGGAAAGAGAAGAGGCATTCTAAAAAATAATTTTAAAAAAACCTCATACTGAGCAAATCCAGAGGGGATGCAGTGGTCCCCCTTAGGGCCTCCCCTCAGTCGATCCCCCTATCAGTCGACCACACCAGGGGAGCAGCAGCTGGGCACCTTTTCTGTAAGCCCTCAAAGCAAGTCAGGATCCTTCCTCCCTTCCCCTCTGTTCTCAGTGGCACAACCCCTTTCCTTCCCCACTGCTGCTGTCTCTGGCTAGTCTGGCTTCACATGCAGCCTGGCTGCAGAGCAGCTCTTGAGCTCCCTCCGCCTGTCCTCCTTGGGACATCTGAGGACAGCAGTAGCTATGGGTAGGGGAAGGGGTAATGGGAGGAAACATGCTGCTGAGTACCAAGGGAAAGTGAGTGGGGAGGAGACTTCTACCTGCTTGAGGGACTTAAAAAAACGTCTCCTTCTGTTGCTCCTGTAGTGCGGTCTGCCTGACCTGGTGTGGGGATGGGGAGGCTGGAAGTCAGCTACTTGAGGAGCCCGCTTTCCAAAATCCTGGATCCACCCATGCACTCATATTAATTAGTATCACAACGCTAACACCAGACGACTCTTTGTTGGATGATGAATAACAGCTTTTTAAGGAAACAGGAGACTAAGCATTTTCTTCCTGTCTCCCTTCACACACATGCACTTAAAAGTTATTAGTAGGCTCAGTCAGATAGCTTGACAATTTGCTACCACTTTAGCAAGGACAACCAAGGAGATTCTTACTTCTTAACCTTACTAAAAAAACTGGAAAAGCTGATCTTTGCATGTAGAGGGAGAACAGAAATTAGAGCAAGGTTTAAGCTGTTCTTTATCAGCTAGTGCCTGGTATATAGTTCTGTTACAGTGCTGGGATATGAAAGTATGAGATATGCAGGGTAGATTAAAATTCAAAGGGGCTGCTGATTTATTCTTCTGTAAACTGGCTCTTCCCTCCACTCAGTTACTGTGCTGATGAGTAAAGCTGGTCAAGATATTGCCAATGGAAACATTTTTCCATTTCAGAATTCCACTTCACTGAACCCAAAATGCTTCCAGAATGCACTAATTTCAACAAAAACCAGGCTAGGGGTCCAATATAAACCCATTGAATAAAAAGACTCTCACTAATTTCATAGGACTTTGGAACAGGCCCTGCTTTCAGTACAGAGAGCAAGGAAAACACACTACTCTGATAACTGGGGCTACATAATTCTGAGTATGAGATGAGGAAAGTAATCTGAAAAGACTGGAAGTTTTATCTCAAATACTCTGGGTCTCAGACAATTTTTTATTATTTTATGCTATTTAGAGAGGCTCTTTATAGAAAAAGAAATCTGACAACTGTTCACCAGATATATACAGGCGTACTTGAGAGGAAAATACAAAACAGATCGTAAAACAATGAAATTACAGAAATGATTGCAGCTTTGGGGGAATCAGATAAATAACAATTCTGCATTCCATACTGAAGTAGTGTGGCTTTTATCCTAGCCTATAGCCACCATTCAGACAAGAATGGAAACCGCTGTAGATGACAGTGGCTTTAATTTCTCTAATTTATTAAACGTAGGGTAAACCTGATCTTAGGAAAGGCATCCTACACAAAGCCCTATGCATAATTTAAATAACTACTTAAATGAGGCATATGGTCTCCTACAGGATATTTATAGGAAGATGAAAGCCACCAGATGTGTTTACCTACTTACCTATCAACATAATTTGGGACACTGAACAAACTTCTAAAGCAAGCACACACAACCGTTTCTTTTTTTCCACCTTCACCTCAGAGAAAGGTATGTGTTAATGAAGCCAGGGTGATGACAGTAATAATGATCTCTTAACAATGGCTTAAGTATAGCTTAACTGCAAAAAGTTTGGTATTGTGAATCAAGTTTCATTTTCACTGTTGCAAATCCTTCTGGTAGAAAGTAAATAAAGTACATAAATGTGGTAAATGGGGATATACAGGATATACACTTTAACCCAGGTTTCCAAATGTAGACAATCAAAATGATTGCTCCCTAGCAATTTGTTTTTCAAGTACCTTTGCTCATGACAAGCAGCTGACTTTTAAAGATTGCTGTGTACTGAAATGCCTACATCAGAATCTGGTCTTGTGAAACATTTAGTTCTAAAAATGAAAATACTATATAAAGCTCTGGCTCATTCCACTGTCACCATAAATATGTACCTCAAATGCACTGAGACTTAGTGGGAAAGACATTATAGAAGCCACCACCAGAAAGAGTGAAAATGTTGTGTAGGTGAATGGAAATGTTAACCAAATACTAATCTAATGTTTAAAATAAAATCATGTTTTTCAACTTCTAATTAAATTGAAGTGCAAACAGTAGAAATCATAAATTGGGGTTTAAGTAATTTTCTATGGTCATTCTAGGGAATATTTTAATTTTAAAAAACCTAGATATGATATTATAATTTCTTTAAAGAGCAGTACTGGTAATGCTAAATATAATTTTCTTGGTTACAGCTCCTAAATTTAACTCCCTACAACATAGCCTGAAATCTTTTTTATTGATGATTTCCTATTAATTAATTAATTAATTAATGCATATGAAACACTCAAAAAATAGATAACCCACTAATATAAACATCCTCAGCAGAGAGAGGTACAGAGCATGAAGCAAGACTGTCAAAGAAATTGAAAATGGAACTTTTAGGGGAGAAAAATGATTCTGTCACCACTGCCTGGAGACCTAATCCTGCCTTTTTACATGGGAAAAATGCTTATAGTTTCAATGAGTGATTTATCACCTTAATGAAAGGAAGACAAAGATATGTACAGAATTTTCTTCTCCATCACACTGTCCTCATGTGTGCACACACACACACACACACACACACACACACAATTACTGGTCACTTCTCACCCCTATTTCACAAGTGAGCACGTAGCCAGCCACATACAACAAAACCAGAAAAAAGAAAAAAGAAAAGCCTGGAAGGAAAATAAAGATATGAAGGAAAATGAAAACTATGGCAAATATAATAATAAAATAATTACAATATAATTAAAATTACAAAGTACTGTACAGTACACTATATCCATCATGCTATACAACAATGCTTTCCATTTTTTGTTATAAGCTTTAAAATAATTAGAATCAACCTAATTTCAGAGAGTTCTCTCTTGTTTCAACCAGAGGCAGTGTCTATTTCTTAATTAAGTACACACTGAAACCTTTTACAAAGTGCCAGCATCTCTTCTCTTCTCTAGGTTTTGCTTTCTTTACATAGCAGAATTGTGCACAACTTCAAATAAAGGAACAATTATAACAAATGAAATTGGAGTATTTATGCAAGTTATGAAATGAAAAAAGTATTGTTACCTTGGCAACCGCTAAATCACATGGCACCTGCAATGAGATGCAAGAGTAAATACTTATGTGTATTCACATGTCCTCCATGCAACAGAATGTTCTTTTGAATTCAGGAATGCATAATGACAACATGACATTTTCCATAGTTCACTTTTCTAGGAAAAATTGATAACAGTATTCCAAACTGCTTTTTTTGTGCTTATTTTGTGGTGTGGTTTGTTTGTTTGTTTTGGACAATTTAAACAAAGGTATTGTTACAGCAGCAGGGAAAAAGGAAAAGGACTATTCACAGAACATTTATTGGGATTTATTGAATTAAGATTAGGAAGCAAAAATTGATGTCTGTATTTTGTCTATACTACAAAAATCAGTTTATGTCCTTGTAGAAGAAGACCATGAATGAGGAAGAGCATTGGATGCCTGAAAGCTTGTCCAGCAGCTCTCCCAACTATACATGTCCAATAAAAGACATCACAAAAAAATCCTTGCCTTCTGGACCACCCACAAAAAAATTCCAACCCTACTGCTAGAAAAAAATACTTACTGACAGTCCGTCTTGCCCATAGTCAGCATATAGTCTCTTCTTTCTCCCTCCTCATTGAGATCTTCTCTCTTTCCTTTTCCTGTTTCCTTACTATGCCAAAACTCTGCAGAACCCCTTTAAAGCATACTCCCACATCTGCCATTTCCATCCACAAAATATCTTAATATCCAACAGACATGACACAGATTCTCCCCTAATTCTTCCCTCTTTTGTCACCATAGTTAATGCCACTGATGACAGCTTCCTCAAAACACCTGTTTGTATCACTTACTCTTGCAAACTCCTCTCCCACACTACATCCTCCTTCTTGGTCTTCTGGGTAATTCTAAATTATAGTATTTATATGAATGGGCTTGTAGAGCAACAGGATTATGCTCCTGTGCATCATCATACACTGTGGCTAGGGACAGACATTACACATAAACCAGTTTAAGTGATCAGAAACTGGTTTAAACCTGTAACAGAACAGACATTCGGTGCACATAAGTCAGTTTCAAAATAGCCAAAACCGGTTTGAGATAAACTTGGCTGAATGTAGTATCAGACTTAACTGATTTGGCTCAAACCGGTTTATGCGATCTCTGTCTCAGACCTCTTGCTGGTTTAAGATAAACTAGACCCCCCCCCAGCATCCCGGCATGCTCTCTGGGCTGGGCTCTCTGTTTGAGCCGCAGGGCTACCCCTGCCCCTTTGCTCTCTAGCCAGAGCAGGGACCAGCCCTAGCACAGACACCAGCCAGCATAGCACTGTAAAGGCAAAATGGGCAGGGAGGAAATTAATTCTTACATCCTTCCTCTCTTCCCACACCGCACACAGCCAGGGTCAGCTGGAGAGAAGAGGGGAGGGGGCTGCAGTGGTGGCCCCTGGAGCTGGCAAACTGTGGCTTCAGGGAAGGAACGGAGGGAGGAATTAACTCTTCTCCCTGCCCCCTTCACCTTAACAGGGCCATGCTGGGTTGGTTGATCTGCAGGGTGGGGAGGGGAGCTCTGTACAATGCTGGGGGGGAACTCTTCCCCCTCTCTCTCCTCCCAGGATGGGGAGGGGGATTCTGTGAAGTGCTGGATGGGAACTCTTCCTCCTCCTCCCCTTCCCCCTGCCACTGTGGGGGTGCTCCATGTGATGCTGCCCGGCCCCAAAGCAGGGGTAAGTGGGGCAGGGGGAGGTTCTGTTCCATGCTGGGGGGAACTCTTCCCCTCCCTTGCCTCCACCTGGAAGGACAGCGGGAGCATGGAGCTTAGCTGGGCAGAGTGTGGGTGCATGGGATGTGAGGGAGTGTGGGGGGTGTAGGGACTCCCACACGCTCCTCCCATGGCATGCAGGCCCCTCTGCCTGGCAGCAGCATCAGAGGTCAGGCTGCTCATGCCTGGCACAGGCACGGCTCTGGCCAGCGCTGCGCTGGGGGAGGGAGCGGAGCCTGCCTTATCCCCAGGTCTCTGCTCCCTGAGCCTGCAGTTCCAGCATGCACAATAAGAGAAGCCCCGCACTGGATCCAGCTGCTTCCCCTGCTCCCTCGTATGCGTCACTGCACTCTGCCAGGAGTGGAGGGAGCCCTGCCTCCTGCTTCCCTACAGAGTCCAGAGCAGGGTTTCCCCTCTGTGAGTGCGGAGGGAGGAGGAGGAGGAGGAAGGGAAGAGTTTCCCCCAGCATGGAACAGAGCCTCCCCTTGCCCTAGGGGGTGGGGGAACAAGTGAGTGGGGGTGGGGGGAAGAGTCCCCCACTGGGGCTGGGCAGCATCCCATAGAGTCTCCCCTCCCCACCCCACAGAGAGGGGGAGAAGCAGGGGGAAGAGTCCCCCTCTGGGGCCAGGCAGCCTCACAGAACCCCCCTCCCCACCCCACCACAGGGGTGGGGGAGGAGGAGGGAAAAGAGCCCCCCAGCACTGAACAGGGCCCCCCTCCCAGCCCCAAGGCAATGGGGGAGAGGGAGGAAGGGGAAGACTTCGCCTCTGGGGCTGGGCAGCCCTGCGTGCCAGGAATCCCAGCTGTAAGGGAGTTGCTGGGGTGGGCCTGCACCCTCCTCAGCTCAGCTTTCCTGTGGAAGGGAGGGCTCCTCTAGCACTGGGTTTCTGGCCTGAGCCACTGGAGGCCTGTGCCAAACGTCTATTCACTTGCAAACCAGTTTACTCTGCAGGTTAGACTAACCTGGAAAGACTGAATCAATTCAGGCTTAGGCTTTTTTGAATGCCTGTCCCTAGCCTATATGCATGCCCTCATAAACACTTGCTGGAATGGCAATGAGTCTGCTTGGGGACATGGACCTCTTTTGAATTAATACTTTCCCCTGTCCCCAGAGACTGGTATTTCTGAGCCACAGCGTATCTCTAACACGAAATAAAACTGGGATGTGTACTAGTTATCTTTGTGGAACCTGGGTACATCCAAGGGTGTGCCCTATTCTCAACTGGATGGGATGGGTAGGCAGGAGGAGGTGCTGTGAGAGGGATGCCAGAATTTCGAGTAGACCCCTCTTTCCTCTATAGAGTTAGCCCAAGCCCAAAGTTCTTAACTATATACAATTTATTGAGTTGTAATATACATAATCATAAAACTAAATATCTTATACATATATTTACACAGTGAACATTAACCAATAACCAAGGTGAACTCTAAACAACACTATTTACCCATCACAATAAAACAATTTCAGTAGCATCTGCACAATACAACATTTCAATTTACAAAATATAAAGCGCAAACAGGAACAATCTTAATAACACCTATTCTTTAATATAGTCCCTGACCCATGGCAAGAGATAGTCCTCCTTCCAATGGGGTCCCTTGGGGGGTATCCAGGAAGCACCAGGGGCCCCTCCCCTTAGGGCCTTGACTAGGTGGGGGGGGCTGCTTACCCAGCCCCTCCCCTGGGTTTGCCTGCCCCAAATGTCTTTCCCCCGTGGGACCCAAGGGCCCAATGACTCAAACTCCCTCGGTCAGGGCGCAGCTTGATGGGGTCTCCTCTGCTGCAGTGCCTCTCCAGCCCTCTCCTGCGCTACTGGGCTCCTCCCCACTCTGTGCCCTGCTCTGGGTGCTGAGGGCTCAGCTCCTCTCAACTGCTGCACCACTGCTGGCTCCTGGGCCTCATGCTGCAGCACTGCTATTTCCCCATGCCCTGGCTCGGCACTGACAGCTCTTTTAGCACAAGCCAGGCCCTTCAGGCTCTGTCCATCCATCCTTATGCCAGGTGGCTAACCCAAACAGCCTCCGCTGCTCCCTGGCTCCGTTCCCTCGTACGCCACCCTGCCACCATGTGGCCTGCTGGCCCCCGGTGTTGCGGGCTCGACCTGCCACTTGCAGCTCCCAAAGCCTGGGCTCCATGCACTGAACCACGCACCATGATGGGCTCGAGCGGTTTCACACTGCTCCCAGGGCCAGGTCTCCGCGCACCGTCCCCATGTGCCGTCAGCATCCTGACCGGTATCCCACCACTCCCAAGGCTGCTCTTCCAGTGGCAGGGTTAAGGGACCTTGGGCCCTTTCCCGCTCGGGGAGCCTTGGGCCTATTGCCCGCTGGGGGAGAGCTCCCCAGCCTTTCTTGGCTCCACTCTTCTCAAGTCCCTCGCTGCATCTGCCCCTCATGCTGGGGATGCAGCTCCTTTTATACGCTCCAGGGCTCCAACCCTGAAGTCTTCCAAACCTGACGGTTTACAGTCTTCAATCAGGTACGGGGGAGCTCTTCTTCCGCGCCCCTCAGGAAAGGGGCGTGACTTTAGTTCTCTTGCTGCCTCCTGATTGGTGGATGGGCTCCACCAATGAAAACAGCAGGATCTCAAGCCTGGGACTCAACCCAAGCTCTGAAAGGTGAGCCTGCTACATTTGTTAGAGACAGAAGTAAATTCCAGTAACACAAGTTACTCTTTGTCAGACCTTGCAGTTTACACTGCTGCTGTGGCTGCCCATCAATTGCTGAAATGGGGGCAACTTCCCAGTGTAGATGAGACTTTAGGCTACGTTAAACTGTCTCTGCTTCCAGAACTTCTGCTGGCACACCAGTCTCTACTGCCCAGCCACCACAACACATATACATCCACACACCAATGATGAATTTATAAGTCTCCAGTATAGCAGCTCTGCTACTGCGTGAAGTATTTTTCTGGAAAAATGCAGGGTAGCAGCAGGTCTATTTAGCATTACCAGTACTCAGCAGAAGTGGAGTAACTGTGCTGAAAGAGTGCAGGGTTGTGCCAGTTCCATCAGCAAATCACTGTAGTATACAGCCAAGGCCACATACTCGGACTCCTCTACTGACAATAACTCGCAGCCATTGCATGTAGTTTCCCAATTTGACACTGAGCATCCATGCATGCTAAAGACAATTGTACATGCTATGTTTGCATAGCTACAAAATGGCTTAATTAGCCACTTAGAAATCTCTCCATGCAAAAAGTTCTCTAACCCTGTTCTTCAGTAACCCCTCTTTTTCCTTTCATGAAGCTTTGCTGACACACAAGGATATTTTTTAGGAAAATGGTAATTTGAAATGCTGTCACCTTCACA